GGTGGGTACGTCTTTCCAGTGACCTGAATACTATTGTTTTATGCAGAGCAACTGTTTCCAGTTTCATTCTTTGAGAACTTATGATTTTGTTTATTCACAAGGAGATTTATTAAATTCCTGCTATAAGATGCCAGGATCTGTGTTTTAGACATTAGGGAAATAAGGAATAGAAGACAAATTTTGATCAGAAAACTGCCAGGTACCATAGAAGAAGAACAAAGAAAAGTGACTGCTCTGAGGGTTGGTCATTGAAGACCTGGGAAAGGCTGGTGACATTGGTCGATCCTACGAGATCAACTTTCTGGCGTCTGAATGCCACTGTCCCCACATTCTACATCTTACACTCTATAGAAGAGCAGTTCCAAAACCATGACAGATGTTCTCTGAAACCTCTCTACTCAGCTCCACACAAATCATCCTTCTCCCTTAAATATTCATCAGGACAGGGTTTGAGGAAATTGTTTAGATTTCACCTCTCATATATATATATATAAAATCAGACTCCAGATCTCCCTCTCTGAGAAGATTATTATAACTTGACTGGAGCAAAGTGTTACTCAAACTTCTTCAACCATGGATTTGCAAAACAAATATTCTTTTGGAGAACTTTCTCAAAGATTATTTCCAAAACCTTCAGCCCTATGTGATGACACCAGTCTTTTTGCAGGTTGATATTAAATATATTCAACAATCAATAAATTAATGTAAATTATTATGTAAATCAATAATTTTAAAATCTATTTTCTTTCATTGTCTAAGTAAATCAAACTATTTTTGCAAAACTGCTTACCAGGTTGTGTATATATATGAGTAGAAAGTATTCATCAAAACATTCTATTAATTTCCAAATTATTTGCTGATTTTGATGTGATCTTTTGTTTGCCATCACTACCACTAGGTAAATGATTTTCCTTTGGTCTGTAGGCTCCCATAGAAAAATGTAGTAAATTTGCGAACAATGACTTCCCATTAGAAAACTAGCAGCTTGGGCTGGGCGCGGCGGCTCACGCCTGTAATCCCAGCACTTTGGGAGGCCGAGGCGGGTGGATCACAAGGTCAAGAGATGGAGACCATCCTGGTCAACATGGTGAAACCCCGTCTCTACTAAAAATACAAAAAATTAGCTGGGCATGGTGGCACGTGCCTGCAATCCCTGCTACTCAGGAGGCTGAGGCAGGAGAATTGCCTGAACCCAGGAGGCAGAGGTTGCGGTGAGCTGAGATGGCGCCATTGCACTCCAGCCTGGGTAACATGAGTGAAACTCCGTCTCAAAAAAAAAAAAAAAAAAAAAAGAAAACTAGTAGCTTTCATAACTAGAGAATTTCTCTTTGCATCAACGTTTTTCTTTTTAGTCTGAATCTTCTCATAGCTTCTCATGGACTAACAGCAATTACATTCAGGAGAGTGAATGTATGTGTATGCGCATATACATATATTTATATAAAGAATGTTATAATAAAGTCTGAAATTTTTAAAAATATATTTTATATATCTACCATTGATTAATTTATAAAACCGTTAATTAGACTAATTTTTAATTGGGTCAAACATAATCGTTCCTGCCAAATGAAAGGGAGTGTAGTTCAATAGTTAAGCACGTGGACTGCATGGCCATCCTGACAAGCAGAAGCGTACTCACGGGCACAGTAGGGTGGATTATTTGAAATCAGGTTTGTCATCCCTTAAAATCTATCACTGTGTGTATATGTAGTGTGGGGAGAGGTTGTTTCATTTGCTGCCTCTATCTATCTGTCTATATCTATCTATCTGTCAATCAATCAATCAATCAATATCTATGAATCATTTATTTACCATGTTGGTTTACTCTTAGGTATTCCAATGAGGAAAATTCCAAAATGTAGCTTTTGAGCTTCGAGAAAAAGCATGAAACTTGAGATTCAATATGTGTGGCCAGAGAAGGTGCTATTAATCCAAAGTCGACTGTGATTCGTTTTTCTTAATGCTTAGACTATCTTCCTGGTGACATTGCAGGTCTAAAAAACTGACTTATATTAGTAGTGGGAGAGGCAAATAGAGGAGGAAGGAGAAAGGGGTTTCCACGCAATGGTCGGGGACAGAGAGGATGGCAGAGGACAGTGACCTGGCTGTGGTGGTGAGGCTGCCAACAAAGAATTACCAAAGAGAATTTCGGAAATGTCAGAATGCCAGGATGTCAATCAGAATTATTGCTCAGAGTCGGATAATCTGTTTTTTAACTTTTTTTTTTTTTTTAGCTTAGAAGGTTTTGTCTCATTACTTAGACAGTGAATTGACTGGCTCACATTGAAAAATACTTACAAAAGGAACTTCTTTATTTTTATTTTTTGAGACAGAGTTTCCCTCTTGTTGCCCAGGCTGGAGTGCAATGGCCTGGCCTTGGCTCGCTGCAACCTCTGCCTCTCAGGTTCAAGTGATTCTCCTGCCTTATCCTCCACAGTAGCTGGGATTATAGGCATCCACTACCATGACTGGCTAATTTTTTGTATTTTTAGTAGAGATGGGGTTTCACCATGTTGGTCAGGCTGGTCTTGAACTTCTGACCTCAGGTGATCCGCCCACCTCAGCTTCCCAAAGTGCTGGGATTACAGGCGTGAGCCACTGCGCCTGGCCAAGAAAGGAACATTGAACAAGGAAATCCTGAGTATAAATACCACACTTTTGTCCCTTGGACATTTTTTAATTCTCAGGACCTACGGTGGGCACCAAGTATGTCAGAGCCAGCAGTGTGTGTGTGATTTATTTCAATGAATAGGTTAGTGTGAGTGTGGGACTGTAAAGTCTGGAAGCAGTAGGGCAGGCTGGCAGGCTGGAAACTCCTGGTAACAGCTAAAGCTGAAACTAAGGGTGCCGTGAAATTTCCTCCTCAGCGAAATCTTCACTTTGCTCTTATCGTCTTTCAACTGATTGGATGAGGCCCACTCACTAATGTGATGTCCTTTACTTTAAGTCAAAGTTGACTGGAGACACTCACCACACCTCCATAATGCCTGCATAGCAATACCCAGATTGTGTTAGATTGGGTAACTGGGTGCCACAGCCTAGCCAAGTTGACACAAAAAACTATCACCCCAGAAGGCCTCTTCAGGCTTGAAATTCTAGTTATTATCACTTGAGGAAGCTTTTTTCTTAAAGACCTAGTCTTTTTTTTTAAAAAAATAGGAATTACTAAAAGATAACATGCATTCTTAAAATTAATCTACAAAAGAGATTTTTCTAGTTTACTTCTAATTCCTGTGTAAATATGAGTTAATTATAGCCCCAAGTAAGGTTGACAATTTTTAAAAGTCAATGAGAGATACTGAGTGCACCAGTGGACTAGAAATGAGATACTCAAATTATCTGAGTTTTCCCTCCTCTTGTTCCAAACTGAAAATATCTGGGACCAATGAAAGAATATTTGATACAACAACAACATAAATGTCATTCTGATTTTATAAAATGGAACTGGCTTATTTTTTCCTTTTATTATAATGGAACTACCAGGATGCTAAACATTTAGGGAGTTATTGACAGAGACAGAGAGGATTGACCTTATGGAGATCAAAATGAGAGAAAGTATAATTTGTAAGTTCTGGAGAAAACAGCTGAAGGACACTACAAGGTGCTCTCAAAGTCATAAGGAAGAACTGGTAGAAACCAAGATTCTTGAGTAACAGACATTTTATTTTGATTACTGAATAATAAAACTGTTACTGTGCTAAAATAACATGTCATCAATTCAAAAGAAGATCAGGAAGAAAAGAGAGCTTAGAAAATGGAGACAAGCAGAAAGCTCAAAATAAAATAGTACTCTATATCTAAACCCAACTATATTAGTTATTGTATTAAATGTAATGAACTGAATTCTCCAATTCAAATATAAAAATAGAAAAAATTCAATTATATCATGCATACAAAGAACACATCCCAAATAGGAGAATATGGAAAGGTTTTAAATTTCTAAGAATGTAAAAAGATGGGAAAATACCATCATTCGAATGTGAACCAAAAAAACTCTATCAAAGTAGTAATATTAATATTCGATCATAAAAATTTTAAGGTAAAAATTATTAATGTAGCTAAAGAGGGTCATTTAAAAACAAAAAAATTTAAAGTTTTTGAAAATCTGATAATTTAAAATTTATATGCTCTTCAGAACACAGCCTCAAAATATATAAAGCAAAAATTGCCAGAAAAAGAAATAATGGTCAAATTCAAGTTATAATGAAAAATTTTAACACATCTTTTGAAATCATTGCTACTCAAATTTGGACTACATAATATAGCTGTTTGACTTAATAGACAGATTGATGGAATGATCGATATATCTAAAACACTGCATCCAACAAATGCAGCATGTGCATTCTTTTCAATGCTCATGGAACATTTTCAAAAATTGACTGTGTAGTAGAATATAAAGGAAGTTTTAGCAAATATATAAGAAGAAAAATCAGTTAAGATGTGTTATCCGATCCTAGTGCAATTAATAAAAAATAACATAAGTATATATTATGCACGATAAAAGTTCAAAAAATAATAATAATAAAAACATAGAAAATTCCTCTATGTTTGGATGAGGGACATGAATAGGGCATATAGAAGTAAAAAGGACACTGTCTTGGTTTGCTCCATGTATTCAGGGATTGTTTAAATTTGTTTGAGAAGATATTCACGTAGTGCTCATGCAGTAGAAAAAGCTGCTTTACTGTAGTAGCAAATTTCACTCACACTCTTTCCTTTTTCCATGCCAATGCTAAGTAAATTCTTAACCCAAAAGGGGATTTTTAAAAGACACATGTTCTTTTCAACATAAGTATAAGTTGGATGCAGATTTGGATAAGCTCTCAGTAGTTCATCTGTAGTTGTGTACAAACTTCATCCCAGGTTGTTCAGGCCCAACTCAGCTACTCAGGGACCAGATAACTAAAAAACTAAAAGGAAGCTGTTCTGCTTTAAGTGAAGAACGCTCCAGCCCTCAGGTGGAGTTATTTCCGGGCCTTGTGATAAAGCTCAGCTGGGAGGCTCCTCAGTCATTACTACAGAGCAGGAGGGGCCCGTTCTCATCAGCATGGTAAGTGGCTACATGCCTGTGCGTTGCTCTAGGAAATTTTACTAATCATATTTGGGCCTTTTCTCACAGCAAACAATTCTTGATAAAATTGCAATGCCAGACAAGAAATTTGTACAGAAACATTTGCTTCTGTCAACATCCGTGTAGATGCTTTGGGGTCAGATGTGGGCAGGCTGTCATCTGTTCCTCTGCAGTGTTGCTTCTTTCAAGGTATTCGTAGTATTTCACTGCCACTAATTGAAGCACTGAAGCAGAAATCTCTCCTTCTCTTAGTTTCACCTTTGTTTTAGGCCCAGAGTGCTGATTTTTCTTTAATAATTGCTTCACCTTTAGTTATGCTGTTAAGAGTTTCTGAGGACTTCAGTCTTAGGTAACCATTGTTAGCCTCATAAATGCCTGGCAGGGTAAAGTGCACAGACATCTTCTTTTCCTTCCGTGAGTTTAGTTCTTTGGCACCACAATGACTAGAATAACTTACAATAATTCTGTTTGGGGACTACCTTTCAGATCCACTTCCCCTTTATTTTCTTCTGTGCTAGTTTTTCAGTATCTTTGAATTTTTATTTCTTCGATGGAAGCAACATTTCAAACTGCTTCATCTTTGATTTCTCACCCCATTGGCCTCTCTGTCCAACCTTTTACAAATGTTTAAATTGTTTTGCTTTTTAAAATTATGCCTTTCAACATGAGAGAGACTTGTGATAACAGCATATTCTGTATCTTGACTATCAATGTCAGCGTTCTGGGTGTGATTTTGTATGATGATCTTGCAAGATATTTCCGCTGGGGGAAATGGGTAGGGGAAACAAGGGATCTTCCTACAAGATCTCAACTGTTAATGTTGAGATCCCTGTAGATTGATACGCAGTTACTCCTTACAACTGCGTGTCGGTCTACAGAGAGCTCAACATTAACAGTTTAATTAAGAGTTATGCTGTTCTAGTAATTCAAATAATCCTTATAGCAGCATTTAATAATGTACTATGACCTGTCAGTTCTGACATTCAGTGGGCATTTTATCATCATCTATTTTATAGTGTGACTAATATTTTAATAGAGAATTTGGAAAAAAGGGAGAGGCTTAAGAGAAGAATAAGGCGAAGATAGTCTTCTATACTTTTGGACAGAGGATGCTTGTTAGGCCAGGCTATTCATGCTGAGTTCAAAAAGAACAGCATCACCCTGCTTTCTGAGTTGCTTGAACAGACCATGTGAAGAGGGACAATCTTTTTTCAATGTTAGTGATTGTTTTTACTGTGAATATTGTGAACAAATACCACATGTACACCTGAATTTTCCTTGTCACTGTAGCACAGGACTGGGTGGTAGCCAGTGGAGAAGGCAGAGAAAAGTAAGAGGTTTTAATGATGTAGAAACAATGTTTCACCCTCTTTTTAAAAAAATTTTTAACTTAAATTTAGAGAGCCAAGTTTTGAACAGATCACAGCAGCTAATGTATTTACAGCACTTTAAGTCCGACAGCTGAGAGGAATACGACTGAGGGTATCTGAAGTCTGCTTAGAACAGAATGTGCTGTTCTGAGCGGTGGAATATTAGCTGGTCCTAAGCAAAGTGCTTTCTAAATTAAGTTAATTAAGTTTGATGCCTTTGTCAGAAGAGACTGTTAGTTGCTCAGAAAAGAAACAAGATGGAAGCCCTACTAAGTTAGTGAACTTGAATTGGTCATGAAGCAAAGAGGGCTGTGTTATGCCTTGTGAATTACCGAGACAAAGTACAAAGGTTTGATGCCATTGGACATGAGCAGAGTCCAAGTCAGATTGCAGGGGTGTGGCCGGCCAGAGCCTTCTCCCTACTTCCCTCTGACTTGTGGTCTCTGTGGACTAGTGGTCCTCAACCTTTTTAGCACCAGGAACCAATCTCGTTGAACACAATTTTTCCATGGAGTCGGCGGTGGGGGATGGTTTCTGGGTGAAACTGTTCTGCCTCAGATCATCAGGCATTACAGTGCTTAGATTCTCATAAGAAGCACACAACCTAGATCCCTTGCATGCACAGTTCACAATAGGTTTAGTGCTCCTATGGGAATCTAATGCGGCTGCTGGTCTGACGGGAGACAGAGCTTAGCCAGTGATGCTCACTCACCTGCCGCCCACCTCCTGCTGAGAAGCCTGGGGATTAGGGACCCCTGTGTAGACCACAGGTCGGGATTGACAGGAGGCCTGAGGTATTTCAGTAGTAGAATCTCAGGCTTTGAGGCAGTGTAGACATGAACAAAGGAAGGGGTTCCCCTCAGCTTATCTGTTCAAACAGCTCAAAGGGTCCTGATGATGCAGAAGACTGGAGGGTCTCCCTCTGTAAGACTGTTTCAGTGCCGCTGTCAATCAAACCACAGCAATATTAAGATCAGCGATTGCTATCACCTTAGGCTTTTTAGGATTTAGCTTTTTCTTTCCCTCTCTTAAAAGAATAGATCATTGTCTGTTTAAATTAACAGAATAGTTGTTAGCCTTTAAAAAAAGATGATTTAAAAGTGGGATGGGGGAGTGTGAACGCTGATGAAGGTGGAAGAAATAGTAAAGTTTAGACAAGAAAATAAAATCACTAGCCAAATATAACTAGATTTAGTATCTTGATGCATTTTCTTTTAGATTTTTTATGCCTATTTTTGAAGATATTTGACATTATCCTCTACATACAATTACGTATCTTATATGCTTTTGATTTAATATGTTATCATAAGCGTTTCCCATGTCATAAATCTTTTTTTTGGGTGAACATTTAAGGGCTGCATAACATGCTATTGCATTGATCTACCATCCTTTAAATGCCCAGCAATCTGCGAATGGTTAGATTAAGTAAATTGGTTTTGGTTTTCATGCTTATGAATTATGATGCTGTGAATGCCATCAGCCTGCATCTTTGCATTTTAGAGTCTTTTCTTTAGTAATTTGTTTGTTTATGTCATTTGCCCATCTAGTGGATGTCTCATGTTTATTTTAGAAAGTTGATACACATAAAAATCAATTTTTATCTCTATATATTTATTATAAAGCTTTTACATTTTGGAGTTGTTAAAAACATTGCATTTGCCTTATAAAATTTCCCACTAGTTTTAAGTTTAGTGTGTATATCCATCCTTATTCAGAGTGCACATGGATGGTAAAGATAACATTTTAAATTTATCTGCAATGAGTTTTAGTACCTGACAAGGCTCTATATTGATTTTGGTTTTCTTTCTTTCCAAAAACTAGCTAATTTTCTTTCTAGGCAAGTCCAGCTGATATGTATAACTAAACACACACACACACACACACACACACACACACACACACACACACACACACATCTCACCTATATTAAACGAATAAAGTGAAAGCAGTTATATTTTGATTTGCGTTGTAAGTGTCTGTGTGTATGTCTTAATTCCAAGCTTAGTGCAGAGTAGGTGCTTAATTTATATTGTTAATAAGCATTTTAATGGAATTTAAATCCCTATGTAATTGTCTCTGAAGCTTAGCTGTACTCTGGCTCCTCATTTCCATGAAACACTTTTGATAATCCTTATTACACATTCCTCTGTGTCCTTAAGTGAGCTTGGTTTCTGCCATTTGTAACCGGAAGTGCTGAATAGCAGATCTCCTGTTGTCTAAACGCCTGCTCAGTTCCAACTCCCCATGGCTTATTTCAGAGGGAGTGCCTTTCCATCCACATCGGTCAAGCTGGCATCCAGATTGGGGATGCTTGCTGGGAGCTCTATTGCCTGGAACATGGAATCCAGCCAGACGGAGTTGTTCTTGACAGTCATCAGAATCAGCTGGAAAATGCGAAAACGGAGCACACAAATGCATCTTTCGATACCTTCTTCCGGGAGATAAGAGCTGGGAAGCATGTGCCTAGGGCACTCTTCGTGGACTTGGAGCCAACTGTTATAGGTACCATAAACGTCGCATTCTAGTATACTTAACTGGAGCCACACTCAAAGAAATCAAGCGGATGGGATGATCAGATTATACGGTCCATCTGAATGAAATCACATGGACCTTTCCCAAATGTAGAGGCTTACTCAATGGCCATTTAGGGTGATTAACGTGACAAACACACCTAAAGGGAAGACTAGTTTAGCCTTTATCAATTTTAATTTTAATTAATTAATTAATTAGTTTTGACACGGAGTCACTCAGGCTGGAGTGCAATGGCACAATCTTGGCTCACTGCAACCACCTCCTCCTGGGTTCAAGCGATTCTCCTGCCTCAGCCTCCGAGTAGCTGAGACTACAGGCATGCACCATCATGCCTGGCTAATTTTTGTATTTTTAGTAGAGATGGGGTTTCACCATGTTGGCCAGCCTGCTCTTGAATTCCTGACCTCAACCTACCTGCCTTGGCCCCCCAAAGTATTGGGATTACAGGCGTGAGCCACTGCGCTTGGCCTAGTTTAGCCTTCTTTACCTATGTGATGAAATGAATTAAGACCTGCTAATTGATCCACACATGGATTGTAACAGAACACTAAGTCTTTTCTTGGGTTCAAGAGCCATTTGCTAGAAGGCACTGGCAAAGAATCGGAAAGTTTTTCGATAGCTACTTAAAAAGAGTTGAATATTTGAAAAGGATCCCAAAGAACAAGAAGCAAATATATACTCTAGTTATGGGAAAAACAGTACAATTTTATGATTACTAATGATATACTTCATAATATGTCATGCCAAAACTCTTAAAATGGAGCTAGAAAAATACAGGAGAGAGGGGCTCTTACTGACTTAAGAGCAAAGCTAGAGATTGGGGTAGATTTACGTTTCCTATTGTACATCCTTTGTTCGTGTGTAATAAACTTCGCCTACACTTAGTGGTTTTTTATGTTTTACTTTTTGAGATGGAGTTTCACTCTTGTTGCCCAGGCTGGAGTGCAGTGATGCAGTCTTGGCTCACTGCAAGTTCCACCTCCTGGGTACAAGGGATTCTCCTGCCTCAGCCTCCCCAGTAGCTGTGATTACAGGCACCTGCCACCACGCCCAGCTAATTTTTTTTTTTTTTTGTATTTTTCGTAGAGACAGGGTTTCACCATGTTGGCCAGGCTGGTTTTGAACTCCTGACCTCAGTTGATCCACCCGCCTCAGCGTCCTGAAGTGCTGGGATTACAGGCATGAGCCACTGTGCCCGGCCCTACATGTAGTGGTGTAAGGCAATAATAATTACTGGTTTGAATCTACAATTTGGGTGGGGCTCAGAGGCAACAGCTCCCCTCTGCTCCGTGTGGTACTAGCTAGGAAGGCTCAAGTGGGAGCTGGGGCATCACTTTGAAAGTCACTCATTTCCATCGATGGCCCCTGGGGGCTGGCTGTTGGCTGAGAGGTAGTGGGAGGGGTGGAGAAAAGGAGAGGCTGATGAATTCAAGGTCATGATAAGAGGGAATTGAATACAACCCCATAAACACTTCAGCTGGGTGACGGGAGTTCTAAGATGAATAACTGCTGATTTTTGCCTTTGATGTGAAGATGCTGTTGCCTGCCTTGGTCAGCTGGGACGGCTGTATCAGAACACCACAGACCCAGTGGCTTAGACCACAGTTGTTGATTTCTCACAGTTCTGGAGGCTGAAAATCTGAGACCAGGGTGCCTGGTGTTTGGCTTCTGGTGAAGTCTGTCTTCCCGGCTTGCAGATGGCCGCCTTTTCACTGTATCCCCATATGGCAGAGAAATAGCCTGTGTCTCTTCTTATAAGGGCCCTAATTCCATAATGAAGTCATTACCTTTATGACCTAGTTACCCACAAAGACTCACCTCCAGATACCATCGCATTGGGGATTAGGGATTCAACACATGAATTTTGGGGGGACACAGCCATTTAGCCCACAGCAGCTGTTCTTTACCAGTTGAGGACCTGCCCAGGTATGTTCCTCTAATTCTTTCAGCACTCTGTCAGGAGACACTATTATCCTCAATTTATAGATGAGGAATTTCAGAAATCTTGGGGAGGTCAAGGAACTTCTTAAGATCACTGAGCTATTAGAGTAGAGCTGGGTTTGGTCCCAGGTTTGCCTTCTTATTAAATCTATTGCCTTTTAACAGAAAAGTAGCCTAATCTAGTGAAGAAGAAAATATAAATAGTTACAACAACACTGTTTAAGTGGAGTCATATAAAATTGCCAGTGTATGACTATTTTTTAACCTAAAAAATTAATTTTATTATATATGATATAACTTAATGGAACTTTCTACAAAAGGAATGTCCAATAATTTGGCCTCCCTTAGGCTACATTGGAAGAAGAAGAATTGTTTTGGGCCACACATAAAATATACTCACACTAACATAGCTGATGAACTAAAAAAAAAATTGCAAAACAATCTCATAATGTTTTAAGAACGTTTATGAATTTGCGTGGGGCTGCGTTCAGAGCTGTCCTGGGCTGCATGCGGCCTGTGCACTGTGGGTTAGACAAGCTTGCTCAGCAAGGCAGAAGGAATGAATAACCAGGGAGTCATGAAATATGTTTGCTTGCTTGTTTTTTAGAGAGAGAGGTGAGGTCTTGCTCTGTCACCCAGGCTGGAGTGCAGTGGTGTGATCTTGGCTCACTGCAACCTCTGCCTCCCAGGTTCAAGAGATTCTCCTGCTTCAGCCTCCTGAGTAGCTGGGATTACAGGCACACGACAGGCCCAGATAATTTTGTATTTTTAGTAGATATGGGGTTTCACTGTATTGGCTAGGTTGGTCTTGAACTCCTGACCTCCAATAATCCACCTGTCTCAGCCTCCCAAAGTGCTGGGATTATAGACGTGAGCCACCGCGTCTGGCCAATTTTTTGTTTTTTTAGAGATAGGGTCTCACTATATTGCCCAAGCTAGTTTCAAATTTCTGACTTCAAATGATCCTCTTACCTTGGGCTCCCAAAGTGCTGGGATTCCAGGCATGGGCCACCACACACAGCCTCACACACCCTCTCATGAAGGGTCAGCATTTGCAAATTCAGAGCCACGAAGGAATGCCGCAAGTGTAACCAGGAGTTCACCGTGGCCAGACATAGGTGAGCAGGAGCGCAAATTGGGGGATGAGGCTGGGAAGCTGGTCCGGGGCAGGCTCAAGGGTGAAGTTAGGACAAAGTAAGGAAGTTGTGGTCAGAGAAAGGAATTTGCGAGTTTAAGATTTTGGAAGCGGGAGAGTTCTGAGTGATGATGGAAGTGGAGGGCAGCTGAATGACACTGTAGTTAAGGAAGCTAAGGAGCTGTCATATAATTGTTCAAAACTATTGAAGCCTCTGAGGATATTGATTAAGGGCACCATGCTGGGTACTGAAGCCCCTGGGAAACCTGTGCCCGGGAAGTTAGAATGGAAGGCTTGGTTACTTATGAATGGCAGGTGCAACCACTAACCTCTGAGAGAATGGATTTTATGGAAAAAAACGTATGAACATATTGACCCTCAAGATCCTGATTCAACTTTGTCATGAAGAAGGAAGCTTCTGTAAATTACTTCCCCAGTCGGAATTTAGCCTTACAGCTTCAGATGAGAAGGAAATAGTCCACACAGAAATACACGTTCACTTATAGCTTGTTTATAAATGTATCTTTTAAACATCTTAGCTCTGGGGGAGGCTTGTATGTAAGCTAGTTAAACGTTATTTAAACTCAAATTTAATAAATATTATTTGAGAGGTTGCAAAATTGGAATTTAGAAATTCATGCACAGGAAGGCGAGGTGAATTGAAAGAACGATCTTGCTCTGATTAAATAGAAACACAATGCGTCTCTCCTTAGGCTGTGAGCTTCTAGGACTGGCTTGGCTATCTGGTGCCAAGGCTGTGGTGTATAATGAGGTAAATCTGCATAAATGCATGTCATGAAGCCAGTTCCGTCATTCTTCCTTATAATTGTTGTTGTTATATGGGCCATGCGTTGTGCCTTATGTTCTCATAACAGCTCACTGGGGTAGGTCTTGTTATAATCCTTATTTATGAGCTAAAATCACTGACTAAGTAACTTCTCTCTAGCTTAGTGAGGAAGGCAAGATAGGAACCCAGGAAACTGATTCTTGAAACATGCATTTAACTACTAAGCAATGCAGTATCCCGCGGTAACCAGGGCAGCGGTCCCAAAGCCTGCTTAGCCCTGAAACACTGCTGCTTAATCATCAGGAATAATGCTATTTGAGTAATTCTAAGGTGCAGAGTAGGGCATGCTGCCCAGGGTTTTAGAAGGCAGTGAGACCTGGCAAGGGTTGCCCTCAGTTGTACTGGATACTGCCAACATCTTAACGCCAATTTCCCTGCGTCATGCATTTATGCCCATGGCATTTGGGTCGTGTGGGCATTTGAGTTCGCCATCCTTCCCTGTTAAATCCTCTTTTAAAGTGGATTTAAAAGATGGATATGCCTTTCTTTTTAAAAACTTATTTTATTTTATTTTCCTTTTTTTGAGAAGGAGTTTCACTCTTATTGCCCAGGCTGGAGTGCAATGGGGTGATCTCCTCTCACTGTAACCTCTGCCTCCCAGGTTCAAGTCATTCTTCTGCCTCAGCCTCCCGAGTAGCTGGGATTACAGGTGCCCACCACCATGCCTGGCTAATTTCCTGTATTTTTAGTAGCGGCAGAGTTTCACCATGTTGGCCAGGCTGGTCTCAAACTCCTGACCTCAGGTGATCCACCTGCCTCAGCCTCCCAAAGTGCTGGGATTATAGGCATGAGCCACCGCACCCTGGTTATGCCTTTCTGTGTGATTTTCCAGCACGCAGTTGGCTATTTGTAGATAAAAATACTTGACTCAAAATGCCAATGTGTTGTAGGGTGGGCAGTGGATTGAAGAGTGTCCCCCCAAATTCATATCCACCTGGAACCCCAGAATGTGACTTTATTTGGAGACAGGGTCTTTGTTGATGTGATCGGTTAAAATGAGTCCTCCTGGATTAGGGAGGACGAATGTTGAAGAATTGTGTCCTTATCAGGAGAGCACAGACACACATACAGGGGAAAAGCTTGTGTGCCAGAGGCAGAGATGGGAAGGGGTAGCTAGGAGCCAAGGAGATCTAAGAATTGTGAGTCACCAGGAGCCAGGGGAGGCATTTGGGCTGGGCTCCCCGGGGCCTCCAGCAGGAACCAGCCTCCCAGCGCCTCGGTGTACACTTCTGGCCTCCGGAGCTGTTAGGAAGTAAATTCCTCTTAAGCCACGACGTTTGCTGTCATTGGTTATGGCAGACCTGGGAAACTAATCAGGGGTGCATGGTGGAAAAACATACTTTCCATGTATATGTAAAGAATTCCACCCTTTCCTGGACTAAGACAGGCTAATTCAGCACCATCTGAATTCCATTCCTGGACCACAGCATTGAGAGAAAGCACGGGGGTCATCAGGTCCAGGGAGGGCCCAGGAGGACTAGCGGAAGGTGGACGGCTGAATTGCACTGACTGCCCTGACCTCCTTTGGCCCTCTGCAGATGGGATCCGGACAGGAGAGCGCCGTTCACTCTTCCACCCAGAGCAGCTCCTGAGCAGAAAGGAGGATGCTGCCAGCAACTACGCGCGGGGTCGTTACTCTGTGGGGTCGGAGGTCATCGACCTTGTGCTGGAGAGGACCCGGAAGCTGGCAAGTGGCTCCCCTTCTCCTCCAAGGGGGCTGTGCCTGGGGCATGTGGGGTCCTGTGGCAGAATTGACCAGCATTATCTGCTGTCACCATTGCCACCAACCCTCTCTCCCTGGGCGTTGGCCTGGGTGCTCGGAACTGGGGAGGGGCCCTCATCTTGGCTTTGATTAACCCTTGTTAGTAGGAAGGGGACAGAAACCTTTACTCTTACTCAGGGTCCTCTGATCACCTGATCATCCTTGCTTCTCCTAACACAGGGTTTATCTTGTAATGAGAGACACACTCTCACGCACTCTAAAACCTGTCGTCATTTTCCAAGAGCAACTGCTGCTTATGAAGTTAGCAAGAGGCACACCCTACCTGGAGTTGCGTGACTGTAACTCCTCTTTAAGGGCCTGAGTCTGGAGACCCTTTGCTGAATAAGGGTTTTGGTGTTTGGCATATTTGTTTGCTCCTACAATGCCTTTTACGCCAGCATGCCAGATGGAGCATAGAAGTGGGGGGAATGTTATTTTGCTCCAGTGTTTTGCCATTTTCTTTGTTATGGATAAAGGCCTTGCTTGCGATCACATACAGATAGACACGCAGGGGACAGTGAAAGACAGGTGGCTATTTGTGCTCTGCTTGTAGCAAAGCTCTGAAGGGCTTTGCCTACTCCAGAAGTACCCCTGAGAGTATTTCGAAACAGCTGTGTTTGTTGTGGAGTTAATAATGGCAAAGGAGTCCTTTCTGGAAGTCTGTGTTTTGGGGAAACCTCCTGGGTCCTGTCACCACCGTCCAGTTCACCGCTTCTGGATTTGTTCAGCCGAATTCTCACATCCTGTTTACTTTCTTCAGGCAGAACAGTGTGGTGAACTTCAGGGATTTTTGATTTTCCGAAGCTTTGGAGGGGGCACTGGTTCGGGGTTTACATCTCTTTTAATGGAGCGGCTCACGGGAGAATATAGCAAAAAGACGAAATTGGAGTTCTCGGTTTACCCAGCCCCCAGGGTCTCCACTGCCGTGGTGGAGCCTTATAACTCTGTCCTCACCATCCACTCCACCACAGAGCACGCGGACTGTACCTTTATGGTGGACAATGAGGCTGTCTATGATATATGCCATCACAGACTCGGTGTTGAACGTCCCTCTTACGCCAGCATCAATAGACTGATGGTTCAGGCAGTATCTTCCATCACTGCCCCCCTCCGGTTTGAAGGGCCCTTGAATGTGGACCTAATTGAATTCCAGACCAACCTAGTACCTTACCCGAGAATACATTTCCCCATCACCACCTTTGCCCCTATTGTCTCTGCTGACAAAGCCTACCATGAGCGGTTCTCCGTGTCAGACATCACCACTGCTTGCTTTGAGTCCTCCAACCAGCTGGTCAAGTGTGACCCTCGGCTTGGGAAGTACATGGCCTGCTGCCTACTCTACAGAGGGGATGTGGTCCCTAGGGAAGCGAATGCAGCAATCGCAGCCATGAAGGCGAGGCAGTCTGTTCAGTTTGTAGATTGGTGTCCAACGGGTTTCAAGGTGGGCTTCAACAATCGGCCGCCCACGGTGATGCCAGGTGGGGACCTGGCCAAAGCCCACCAGGCCCTCTGCATGCTGAGCAACACGACGGCGATCGTGGAGGCCTGGGCCCGCCTGGACCACAAGTTTGACCTCATGTATGCCAAGAGGGCATTTTTGCACTGGTACATCAGAGAAGGCATGGAAGAAGCGGAATTCTTGGAGGCCAGGGAAGACCTGGCGGCCCTGGAGAGGGATTATGAGGAAGCGGGGCAGAGTTTCTGATGCATGTGTGATGGGTGCAAATGAACGTCAAGCTAAAACGGCATGTTTTCTTTTCAAGCTGTTATATGCTTAGTGGGTAATTCCCCTGATGAGAAGAAAAATGAAATCAAATCAGGCAAGAGTCTAGGTTCCACATGAAATTAAGTGGGTCAGTACCAACCATGAACGCATTATTCCCAGGTCTACTGGTACTAGTCAGCTCTGCTTCCCGGGAGCCTTCGGAAGCTTCGAGTCCTTTGAACTGCTGGGTCACTTCTAGGTGGGGTTTTTTGTTTAACCAAGAGACTATGAAACCCTGAAGTTCATCCTTTTTCTTTCTGGTACCTGAAGTATGAAACAGCACATGTTGATTACAAAGGTTTTTTCCCCTATATTTTTATACTGATTGAATCATAAATATTTTCAGTATGATTCTTTTTCTTCTTTTAAATATGTACCCAAAGGGATCAGTTTGCTTGTTATGTAAACAAACTACAGTCTTTCTAAAACTTGAATTTGGGTGTCCCGCAGGTCAGAGGTGAAAGCCATCTCTTCCACTTCCCTGTCCTGGAAGTGCTGTTCTCAAAGTATTACCGGCCTAACTGTGCCAGAGTCACTGCAGAAGTTTCCTAAAAATGCAGATTGTTGAGCTTCTCTATGGACTTGCTAAGCTGGAGAGGCTGTGTCCTAAGGATTTGCGATTTACAAAAACACTCAATGGAATTAATTTTTGGTACTGAATAGTTCCATTTGAGAAAATAATTTACTCTGGACAAAGCTATAAATGCATTAAAACCACTGGCGAGATTTTAAGTAACCGCAATGTTTACTTTCACTGATTCTTGGAATGAAGGCGACATAGATGCTGCAGAGGCGCTGGGTCGGGCTCAGCTGTTGCTCTTGGACGGATGGTAGACAGTCCTCACGAGCCACGTCCGTCTGCGCTGTTTAACCTGTCAGCCCTCGCCCCCCAGCTGTACTGACTCTTCACTTCAACTGGGCACAGGCTTTTGGCTCAGGTGGACGTCGGAAGGTAGGAGGCACGGAAGCCTTGGCTGGAGGTATGAAGTTGTGTATCTGTTTTGAGACTTCTCAAACTACAAGGCTACTACCTTTTTGCTTGTGCACTTGGACTCAAAAACTGACCCTCTGTGTGTGTGTGTGTGTGTGTGTGTGTGTGTGTGTGTGTAAGATCTATTTTTTTTAGAGTGTTTACAGGTTCTCAGCAACATTGAGTGAAAAGTATAACCCTCCATTTTTGACGGTTCCTTGGGAGATTCTCTTACATACTAAAGTCCCTCCCCTGAGATGTGGCCTTTAAGGGTGGCACTCAAACAATGTACCCTTTTGCCTGCTTTCAGTTGAAACCATTCTCACCATGGAGGCCAGTGACCACCATTTGGTGGAGATGACATTTAGCCCCTCTTCAGTGCCAGAAGGGTGTTTTCCCCCAGCGCAGACAGCTCTCACTGAGTTTTGTTCAGTCCCCAGGTCTCTAAGTGTCTGGCTGTGTCCCCGTTGGACTCCACTTCCAAACATCACTCCAAGGGCTCAGCTTCTGCTCACACAAAACTGCGTTCTGGGGTTCTGTTTGGAGACAGAGCCTGTTAATCAAGCTGTGCCGGGATTCCTGGTGTGGCAACAGGGAAAGGACCATGACTCTCCTTTTCATGTCTCTGACTTGCTGTGATCAAACACTTGGAGGAAAGATTACTTTGTCCAAACGAAAGGAATGATTTGCTCAACATTAGTGTTTCTTCACTATATCCAATATAGACCGATGGTGTCTACAGCTGGCTCTTTATTGAAGTGAGAAGAAAACTGTTACCGAGCCAAAGGGCTTGCTGCCCGGCCAACATGGGTCCAACATTTTAATTTCCTGCAGATGTGATTCCTACTTTGGAGCCCAGTTTGGGTGCACCTGCTTCATGGAGCCTTCCAGGATCTTCTTCCTTGTGTCCTCCCTTAGCTCCCACAGCCCTGGTCTGTTCCATCCCAGGGTTTATGGACAGTGGAGACACACCATGAAATCTATCACTGCATTGAAAATTTGTAGCAAGTACTCATTGATGAAAAAAATTTAATTTGTATGTCATACATAGTGCCTTACATTTTTATTAGGCTTTTACTAAGTATTTAACATTTATTGGCGGGGCGAGTGGCTCACGCTTGTAACCTCAGCATTTTGGGAGCCCAAGGCAAGAGTATCACTTGAGCCCAGGAATTCGAGGACAGCGTGGGCAACATAGTGAGATCATCTGTGCTTATACACACACACACACACACACACACACACAATGTGTATATATATCAGCCAGGCGAGGCATGCACCTTTGGTCCCAACTACTTGGGAGGCTGAGGTGGGAGGATCACATGAGCCCAGGAGGTTGAGGCTGCAGTCAGTCATGATTGCACCACTGCACTACACCCTGGGCAACAAAGCAAGACTGTCTCAAAAAAATAAAGTAAAATAAAATAAAATTTATTCTTCAATGTACATGTGTTGTTTCTCCATTCAGCCACTAGGGGGCACTAGTGACGTGCTTAAATAACTAGTTGAGTTTTTGGTGCTCTAGGGGTGGGGGTGTGTGTGTGTGTGTGTGTGTGTGTGTGTGTGTGTGTGTACATGAGTACTGACACATCGAGAAAAAGACTATATATTTTCTTTTGTTTTTAAAAGTTAATCTACTAAAGAACCAAAGTATTTCTTAAGCTTTTACATTCAGCTTGTGAATCTTATTATTTATAAATCTAGAAAATTTGTATAATCATTTTTAAAGGGAATGCACATGAATTTTGGGTCTCCTTTACAGTCTTAGTTAAATGCTCTTAAATATTTTAGGTTGCCTATAGATTTAATATCTTCTACTTTCTGTTGAGGACGTTGACAAACTTTCGTAAGTCCTGTAAATAATTCTTTACAAATTTAATAAATTGAATTATACCTATGGTGATTAAGTACTCTTAGGTGTTCTAAAACTTTCTACAAGCGATTAAGATTTGTACTTAAGTGACAAGTGTACATTTATTGACAACATTTACACTTTTAAAAATTGGAATGACACAGCCGAGTATGGCTGCATCAGGCCAAACACTCTTCAGTATGATGAATGCTGTATTTGAAGTGCCAAGTTGGCGCAGCTTCCTTCCCGCAGGAGCCCCAGCACATCCTTACTCAATGGATTCACTTACAGTGATTGAGTGCTCGTCACAGCTCCAGGCACGGGGCATGCAGCACTGAACAAAACAGAAACAAGCCCTACCCTCATGGACTTTACGTTGCAGTGAAGGTGGAGGAGGGTGGAAGACAGTCGACACGGTAAGTCAGTCAGTTATACTGCAGGTTAAAGATGGCAGGTGCTCTTGGGAAAACGAAGAGGACGGTAAGGGGGAACAGATTGCAGCTTCAAATGAGTGGGCATTGTGGTTTCCAGAGACAGAAGGCTTTGACAAGGACTTCAAGGGAGCGACAAGGGAGACTGCAGATATTTGAGAGAAAAACATTCCTGGCAAGAGGAACTGTCAGAGGTGTTCGAACCCGAGCAACTCCGTCTTGAGTGAGCGCTAGGAAAACGGGGCTGGCACTTGCTGGGCTGTGCTCCCAGAAAGTTGGGTATTCCAGGCCTCTAGATGTTTATGGCTAACGGAATAGATGGATAACATTTACTAAACACACCCCGACTTGGGAGGGTCCTGATATCCCGATACCCTGAGAACAGAAGCATTTGTAAGTTGGCTTTAAATATAATAATATTGATTCTTGCAAAAAATAGTAATTAAGAAAATTAATCCTTTATCACAAACCCTTGTAGCAGAGGACATCTTCCGTGATTTTTTAAATCCTATACATAAACAAGCATTGTACCCAGGGTGGACGTGTTCCTACTGTCTACGGAGGAGCTGCTCCTTCAGCACTTTGCTTTCTTAACAAACATGCTTTCACTTTGCCCCGTGGACTTGCCCTGAATTCTTTTTTGCATGAGATCCAAGAACCCTCTAGTGGGGTCTGGATGGGGATCCCTTTCCAGCAACAGAACCAGCAGTGGAGATTTAGGAGGGGCCACCGAGGGAGAAGGAAACCAGCGCAATGTCCTGAAAGGCACGTTGGAGAAAAGCCTGCTCAGGAGGATGGCGTGGGCCTGGTCCCCTGCCTTAAAGGATGGTCCTAAGTCCTGTGAGTGAGGGCTGAGGCTTGGCCACTGGATTTAGAGCTGACCTTGAAGAGCGGGTTCAGTGGACATCGTCAGGGTGCTGCTGTACGAGGAAGCAGAGTCACGTGCTGCCGTCCGGGAGAGGTGACGGGTCCAGGGCTGTCGGCCAGCTGCGGTGGCTCACACCTGTCATCACAGCACTTTGGGAGGTGGAGGCAGGAGGATCGCTTGATCCCAGGAGTTTGAGACCAGCCTGCGCAACACAGTGGGACCCTGTCTCCATTTTTATTTTTTAAAAAGCGTTGCTTTTAGCATTGGAGAAAGAAAAATGGGTTTGCTTGCTAGTGTGAATGATGCAGCGGAGGAGGTGGCGTCGGTGATGTGGGAGGAAGACAGAAAGGTTGTTGGATCCATGTCTTAGATGGATGAGAGGGGAAGGAACTTCGAGGGTGACACAGAGGTCTTCCCTTCACAGAAGCACGGACAGCTCATCTAACTCCACAGGGAGGAAGGCAGAGCGTGTGAGTACAGGTGCTCTCGGGGCGAAGACACGGTGGTAGGGTTTCTGTGAAATGGTGCTTCTGAAATGTTTTCTTAACGTAAACGGAGTAAAATCACCAGCCGAGGTTGGAAGGGGAAGGACACCCTAGAGGTCTGAGGGGAGAAGAAGATGAGTGAACGTCTAGGATAGCAGGAGCAGGGGTGGTGAAGGGAGCGTGGTCTGAACGCTGGGCCGTCACAAGAGCCCGTCTAAGGAGTCCAGTGAGGATTCTAAGGCGAGATCAGTCCGTGTGTGTGTGTGTGGTGTGTGTGTGTATAGTGTGGTGTATGCGTATGATGTGATGTGTGTATATTTGTGATATATGTGGGTGTGTGGTATGTGTGTGTGGTGTATGGTGTGTGTGTGAGGTGTGTATGTGTGCGTGGTGTGTGGTGTTTTTGTGTGTATGTGGTTTGGTGTGGTGTGTGGTGGGTGTGTTTGTGGTGTGGTGTGTGATGTGTGTGTGATGTGTATATGTCGTGTGTGTGTGGGGCATGTATGTAGGGCATGTGTGTGGTGTGGCGTGTGTGTGTGATGTGTCTATGTCGTGTGTGTGGTGTGTGTGTGTGGCATGTATGTGGGGCATGTGTGTGGTTTGGCGTGTGTGTGTGATGTGTGTAGTGTGTAGTGTGTGTGTGGTGTGTGGTGTGGTGTGTGTGTGTGTGGTGTGTGTGAGTGTGTGTGGGGGTTTTAAGCTGTGTTAAGCTTGAGGGTTCAAGGGCAGGAAGAATGGCGTGTTTGAATGAATAAGGCAAGGCAAATGTGGAACAAGGGAATCTCAGGTGTGTGCAGCAAGCGATTGTAAAATCCACCCTGGCGTTTAGACTGGCAAGGAGAGAGGAAAGGTCGGGAAGTGGCAGGAGGGATGGTGAAAAGGTGGCAGGACCTGTGGATTATTGGCATCAGTGGGGCTGAGAGATGACTGGAGTTGCTGTCCTAGGAAGGGGAAGCTGGAAAGACAGGCCATGGCGGTCGGAAAGTCTGTGACTTGTAATGACAAAGTCATGGGAGTGAGTGGCGGGCATGATGCAGGTCAGGGTCACGGGAGTGGAAATGTTTAAGGAACTGAGGGGCCAGGGTGTAGGAGAGGTCATCTACACGTGTGCTGAAATGACCACAAATTAAGACAGGAGCCCTGTGAGCAAGACTGATGAGCCAAGAGCTAAAATGACCAAGAAATGAGGTGCTATGGGAGGCCAAGGGGGGAAGATCACCTGAGCTCAAGACCAGCCTGGGGAACGTGGCAAGACCTAGTCTGTACAACAAATACAAAAATTAGCCGGGTGCGCTGGCAGACGCCTGAAATCCCAGCTGCTCGGGAGGCTGAGGTGGGAGAATCTCTTGAGCCTGGGAAGGACGGGGCTGCATTGAGCTGTGATCACACTACCGCACTCTAGCCTGCACGACACAGCAAGACCCCGTCTAAAAAAAAAAAAATTAAAAAGTGAAATACGGTGGCCTGACCCAGGTGTTGGTAGGTGACAAAACAGTGACAGTGGGGGAGATTCAGGCTGATGACTTGCAGTTCACACTGGTGAATGATGGCTGATGTGGGAAGGAGAGAGAATATCGAATATGCTTTCCCTTGAGGAAAACAATACGTCACCCCGTAGCTTTTGGGTTATCTTACACAGATTAATGTTTCGTCTCTTGCTTTCTTAGCTTGCTGAGGTTTTTTAATGATATTGATCAGGCTCTGACTGCTCTTGGCAACTCTAATGGAGCCCTAGCAGTCGTCTATCACAAGAACTTCGTTAACTAAAGAATGAAGTGTTCCCTTCATTCTTAGCCCACTCAGATGTGAGTCATGTTATTATCTAATTTTCAAGTCAGATTACATCTGTAATTCTTATGAAGGTAGATAGCTACATCATTTGATTAGATTTTATATTCCTTAGGCTCTTGACATATGTAAATGTCTTTTTAGTTTAATATTAACTACTCTTGAACTTGCATATTTCACATTTCTTGAAATTGTATAAAATGTCTGATTGAATGCTGGGTATTTCTCAGCTTTCCCTGACTCTCTGGTTACAGCTTTCAAAATTGTTGAACTGTCATGAAGCAGGTACCTTTGTTTGCGGTTGATATTTGCTTTCAGCATTCCTTGTTAGCTAGAATATCTAGAGACCGTGGTATGGTTTGTGTCCCCACCCAAATCTCACCTTGAATTCTAATAATCCCTACGTGTTAAGGGAGGGGCCAGGTGGAGATGATTGAATTATGGGGGCGGATTCTCCCATGCTGTTCTCGTGGTGGTGAATAAGTCTCAGAGATCTGATGGTTTTACATATGTGAAATTCCCCACACAAGCTCTCTTGCCTGCCACCATGTAAGATGTGCCTTTCCTCCTCATTCACCTTCTGCCATGATTGTGAGGGATCCTCAGCCATGCGGAACTGTGTCAATTAAATGTCTTTACTTTATAAATTACCCAGTCTCAGGTATGTCTTTATTAGCACTGTGAGAACAGACTAATATCATCCATTCATGTGTCTTGTCTCCTTGGAGATTAACTTGCCTACTGATCCCTATTTTATTTGTATCAGAGAACTTAAACTAACTTTTAAGGGCATTTAAACCAAAATATGTAATCTGACTGGGATTGTGTTGAGAATTTTCACTTACACAAACTGATTTTTGTTGCCCCAAAAAAGCACTTCCAAATTTTATATTATTTTTATTTTTGGAGACGGAGTTTCACTCTGTCACTCAGGCTGGAGTGCAGTGGCACAATCTAGGCTCACTGCAGCCTCTGTCTCCCAGGCTCAAGCAATTCTCCTGCTTCAACCTCCCAAGTAGCTGGGATTACAAGTGAGTGCCACCATGCCTGACAATTTTTTGTATTTTTAGAAGAGACATGGTTTCACCATGTTGGCTAGGCTGGTCTCCAACTCCTGGCGTCAAGTGAGCCACCTGCCTCAGCCACCCAAAGTGGTAGGATTACAGCTATGAGCCACTGTGCCCAGCCTATTTTTTAATGAAACTACTATGCCTTTATTTTATTACATGTTTTTCTCTCTTCCATGGTGTAAATTCCTTTCCTGTCTGTGATGACTTGGTGCTTTATGCTTTTATTTTTCAAAACTATTTTAAAAATAGTTTTAAAAAATAAAATAGTTTAAAAAACTATTGTTTTTGTTTTATTTTTAAAAACTATTTTAAAAATAGTTTTAAAAAATATAAATGGAGAGGGGGTCCCACCATGTTCCCCACGCTGGACTCAAGTGATGCTCCTGTCTCAGCCCACTCTTGCTGGGATTATGGGTGTGGGCCGCCATGACTGGCTGCTTTGGTGTTTTCTTGGCCCCAAGAATCTGACTGATTCTTGGCAAGGAAAAAAATCACCATCCCCTTTGATATCACTTATCCTAGTGTCTCTACTTACAAAGGGAAATGTTATTATCACCATTATTTTACTTTTACTTTACTTTAGTTAATTAATTAATTTCTTTAAAGGCAGAGTCTTGCTCTGTTGCCCAGGCTGGAGTGCAGTGGCACAATCTCTGCTCACTGCAACCTCCACCTCCCAGGTTCAGGAGATTCTTGTGCCTCAGCCTCCTGAGTAGCTGGGATTACAGGCGCACACCAGCATGCCCCACTAATTTTTGTATTTTTAGTAGAGATGGGTTTTGCCATGTTGGCCAGGCTGGCCTTGAACTCCTGGCCTCAAGTGATCCACCTGCCTTGGTCTTCCAAAGTGCTGGAATTACAGGCGTGAGCCACTGTGCCCAGCCTACCATTATTTTTAAATTTAAATTTGCTTTAGAGGGAAGTCTTCAGGGCAAACAGAGTCACCTTCCTCATAAAGGATTCTGTTGGGAAGTCCTCTAACTTTTATGAGATAAATTAATCTTTTTATTTTTTAATTTGAAAAAATATTTATTACCCAGAATATGTTAATTGAATTCAGTTCTATTAGCTTTTCCCCTCTGGCTGTTCTTTCCTAGACAGTTTCTAATGTGTCCATGTATTACAGTTGTGGGGCAGAGGATCAGATGGGGTTCTTGGATGTAGCCCTGAAACAATCAGATAGCGCCTACACGTACAGAGAATATCTGAGAGCTTTGTGCGTTGCCATATTCATCAGTGATTTCCTCTGCAAAAGGCAGTCATGTCTAGCTGAAAAACCTAAGCAGTCCTCTTCGGACTCAAACGATACGGGACGGACGTAATCATTAGCAGACAGCAAGTCACTTAGAGACAGAGACGCTGGCTAATAACTGGGCTTACTCACTAGATAAATAACTTATTCGTGCATATCTGCCTTGCAGAGTAATTAAAAATTGTGTTTCAGAAAAACAAATTATTATACTCGAGAAAGTTCCACACACAGTATTAAATTGTTTATTCAGCTGGGTGCCTGGCTCACTCCTGTCATCCAAGCACTTTGGGGGGCTGAGGTGAGCCCAGGAGTTTGAAACCAGCCTGGGCAACATAGGGAGATGCCTGCTCTGCAGAAGTGCAGAAGTTCGTTTCATTTACGCCACACAGAAGTGACAGGGACCACAGCGCCTCTTTCGGGAAGCTGGCCCTGGGCTTTGCGGCCCGGAGGCCGTCAGGGCTCCTGCCGATGTTCATTTCGGGTGGAATTTTGCCCGTATTGAAGGTTCTCATGTCTGCACTCCTCAGATTTATATTTTTATACTAATTGCTATCACTTTGCAGTTCATCTATATGCTCCCCGGCGGGGTTTGCTTCTTTTTAAGTTCTGGCTTTGTTCATCCACTGAGGTCGTTGACTCGGGGGGTGCAGAGGCCTGGCGTGGACATCAGTGTCCCTGCGACACCCAGCTCAGCACAGGGCGCTCACTGCGGCTCAGTGAGAAATCCACGCGGACCTGTGGTCCCCAGGCCCTCGCAAGCCGTGGAGGAGTTGGGGATGTTTCAAGGGGTAATTGAAAGCTCCCTCTCCCTTTAGCCACGACATGCCTCTGAAACAGTTCCCGGGTTATGTCTCTTGGCGGGACCAGGCCTCGGGGACAGCGCTCCATCGAATGACTCTCAAGCTCTCCTTTGCTCCTGCCAAGGCCTCCCACACACTTCCCCCCGAGAGAGAATGGGAGCTGGCTCCCCAGGACCCTCCCTCGTCCCTTCCCTGTCCCAAGCTCAGAGTTTGAAGGCAGTGGGGCCGAAGGAAGAGGAGCTAAGAAAAGCCAGGACTTCAAGAAGCCATTGGTTTAATGGGGTGAGGAGGTAGGAGGGGTGGCAGGGGGGCGGGCGCTGCGGCTCCTGTCCGCCCTGGCGGGGTCTGGCGTGCAGGAGCGGAGCCTGAACGCTCTCAGGCATGGGGTCAACAGGGAGAGGACTGGAGCGGCGAGTGCATGAACTTTGCCTCTGGCCGTGGGGAGGGAGGACGGAGACGCTGCACACAGGGAGGAACGTGAGCCGCCTCGTGTCTGGGAAGGTTGGACGATACTGCACTTCTGTGGGTACAGACGGGGGAGCAGGGAGACGGGGTCAGGGGCCAGAAGAGGTCAGAGGGGCGCGGCAGTGCAGCAGCCTGTGGAACTGACTGATCCCACAAAACACAAACCAGCACACGGCACTCTCGTCCTCCCCTGGCCCTCCCCTCGCCCCTCTTGGCCCCCCCCCTTGCCCTCCCCTGGCCCCCCGGTCCCCCCCGGCCCTCCCCCGGCCCTCCCCTCGCCCTCCCTTGGCCCCCCCCGCCCTCCCCTGGCCCCCCCCTCGGCCCTCCCCTCGCCCTCCCCTGGCCTTCCCCTCGCCCTCCCCTCGTCCCCCCCTCGCCTTCCCCTCGCCCCCCGCCTCGCCCTCCCCTCGCCCTCTATCCTTGATGCCTCCCTCCTGTCTGGCTTCTGCCTCTACTTCTTCCTCCCAATCTGTGCCATCAGGTGGGCGTTGGCAGCGGCCTGGGCACGCAGGTTCTTGGCCTTGGCGATGCTGAAGAGGTGGTTCATGATGTTGGTGGGGACGTCGAGGGACAGGGTGAACTTGGTGCGCTGGGGACTCTTGGCTGTGTCCTGGTGTGCCTTTCCCCTGGGCTGTGCCTGGGACACGTATTTGTACCGGGTGCCCCCAGCTCCGCCCCTGGCCCCGGAGAGGAGGAAAGTCCTTTTCCCTTTGCCCTCCTCCTCCACTCCTGAAGAGGTGTCTTGGCTGGGCAGATGATGGAAGCTCCTTTTGCTCAGCAGGGATGCGTCCTGCCCCTGGCTCTTCTCGGTCTCAGACAGGGCGGTGTTGAGGCAGCTGAAGTTGGGCTTGGCCTTGTAGAACTTGTGGGGGAGGCCTGTCCTGGGGCCCCCCAGGAGCAGCAGCAGGACCAGCAGGAAGTGGATCGGCATTGTCATCTCTCCCTGCAGCAGAAAAGAGGGACGTGGGCAGGGGCAGGGGAGGGGCTTGGTGCTCCGGAGGACCTGGATTCAAATCTGATAGGGTGTGGTTACTGTTCTCCCAGAGGGTTCTCCAAGCAGGACCCCCAGACCCGCAGCAGCAGCCCCGCCTGGAACTTCCTTAGAAATGCAAGAAATTCTCAGGTCTTTTTCCAGAATGAGTAAATCAAAAGCTCTGGGGCCGGGCTGCCTGTGTTGTAACAAACCTGCAGATGATCTCAATGATCACTGAAGTGTGACAACTATTTGTTACCTTATTAGTATTTATGGGTTTTATTTAATTCAGCTCTGCAGGCAGCCACTGCCCCTGTAAAGCGAATAACTAACATATTAAGTAAGCATTTAGCAGCCTACCGTCGTTGATTTTAACGGCAGGTGAATTTTTTGTTCCTTCATCATTGGCAAGGCTGACTGTATATATCCCTGTTGCTTAAAGACCATGGCTGAGGCCGGGCGCAGTGGCTCACGCCTGTAATCCCAGCACTTTGGGAGGCCGAGGCGGGTGGATCACGAGGTCAAGAGATCGAGACCATCCTGGTCAACATGGTGAAACCCCGTCTCTACTAAAAATACAAAAAATTAGCTGGGCATGGTGGTGTGTGCCTGTAATCCCAGCTACTCAGGAGGCT